ATTTGTAATATTATTTTGAAAAAACATTCATTAGGGTTCTTCTCGTATAGTATTCGTCTTTATTATATTATGTTCACTTTTGTGGCTGACTTGGAGAATAGTTTTTGAGTTGAATAAACAATACCTTCATTCATCAAGATCGTAACTTTAGGAAATCAAATATTCTATGTTCTAATGGGAACAATAAGCAAAAAAGATTGTTTATGTGAAGATGGAGAAGAGGAGGATGAAGTCATGTACTTATCGATATCAATTCGAGATATCATGTATGGTATGGATACGGACAACAACAAAACATGTTATCTCCTGAAGCAGGAGTGTATTGAATGGGCAACGATGTAACAGATGGATCGTGCCTCCTGATCTATTAAGTGATAAAAAGAGTTGGATCTCAATGGATGATAGCCAAACACAAGATCATATAAGACCGAGAACAAAGGTAGAAAAGTTAGTGAATCAGTCTATCCTGCAAAGTGAGTTAGGAAACATCGTGATATTACTTTTCTATTATCATGTTCAGCGTAAAAATGTATTTGTTGTATGTTTTGGTTCTGATACTTTTTTAAATTTCAATTGATATTAATAAAATTAAGATGTTATAAAAAAGAAGAATATTAGGATATTTTAGCAATGCCATAGAACTTTAACTGAAAAATAAATAGTCTACATACAGCTGTTAAGAGAAACAATTAAGATAAACACGGTTAGGCATATTATATATGCCATATATCTAAAAAGTTTATTTGTTATTTTCAAATTTAAATTTATAATTGACAAAATTAAAATAGTCTACGGTTGAGAGAAACAAAAAAAGACTAATTTTTGGTAAACTATATCTTATATCATTATTTATCAACAGCTTACCTATTTGACATTTCAATAACTACACGTATTAAGAGTACAGAGAATGGTCATATTGAATCCCCTATATATTATTTGAGAATCATTTAAAAAGTTGTAACCTTAAGTTTGTAAGAATTAAAAATAACTTCAATCCTATGTGGCATAGCTCTTTGGCTTCTATTTCAAATCCTAAGGATTCTAAAGCATGTTATATAATGTATAGTTTAAAAATTATATTTTCTAGCAATATAATATTTCGTAGGCTATAGTTGGTCGCATATATCAAATATTTATTGTTTCACATGCTTTTCTTAAATAAAACCTACGGAATTACCTAATGTGATCAAAATATATATATGACAATTAATGATTTTAAACAATAAAGATTTGATAACAATCTGTATATTTTTTTTTCATTTTGTTTATTTCTTTATTATTAAAGTAAATTACACAATTACATTAATCATATAATAAAAATCTAGATTTTTTTTTGTGTATGTTGTATTTTGAATTTTTCAAAATGAGTATAAATTACTAAAACTGTTAAAAGTCCCACATAAGCTTTTAAGATCAAGGTTTTAATTTTTTTTCTATACTAAAATATAATGATTATAAGACCATATGAAGAAATAATTTAGTTTATATATATTTAATATCATTTTAATTAAACTATACATCGTATGAAAATACATACTTATATTTTGATATTTGCCTTGAACATATATTGAAAAGTTAATATTTTAATTTTGAAATATGTCATTGTTTTTTTTAAATGATTATAAATTATTGAAACTACTAAACATCTCACATTAAAAAAAAATTCGTTGGTGTAAAATTTTGTTACACAAATATGCAAATACTCATAAAACCATATGAGTAGAAACCTCATTTAATTAATATCCATATTGAAAGTGTGTTATATTACTATGTTTACATCATTTAATTTTAATTATATATCATATACAATATATAAGATTGATTATTTTGATTTATTTACCCTAATTGTGAATAAACAAGAGTAATCGTTAAATTTATATGCATACGCCAATTTATTACATAATAGTAACTGATTTCTTAGTAATTTAATATATATTTATTATTTTATTATTTATAATATGCATAAAAATATAAAATACTTATTTTGCATAAAGTGCAGATCTTAACCTAAGCATGTATCTCTTTAATTATTTTAAATCTTAAGTATTTTCTAAAACAAACGAAATGTGAATAAAATTCAAAATAAATATTTTTATCGAGTAATAACCAAAATATAAAAAAAAACATATTAAGAGAAAAATGGAAGATAAATAGGACTGACACGTGAACGTAAACTTCTCATAACCATAATTAATTTTTAAATTGTTAAATCATGATATAAAATTGAGTTAATTTTTAATTTGTTAGTTTTTAATTTTTTAAATCATTATGGTTATGTTAAATCATGACCATAATTAATTTTAAATTATTTATTTGTATTTGAAAAACTTAAAATATTGTTTTAAAATAATTTAAAATTTAACATAATTTTTTATAAATTATTTTAAATAATAATAATTTGTAAAAAATATAATTTTCTAATATTATTAGACAGATAAATAAATTATATTGAATTAGTTTTGAAACTTTATATATTTAAATGCAAATATTTTACCAATTGCTTCTTAAAAAACATTAGGGGATTTGCTAATACTCTACCAATCAAGCCTAGTAACACTCCATTTATTTTCCATCACTCGAACACTGAAAAGTGAAAAGATATATGAAAACATATCCATTAAATTCTAAGATTTGATCTACATTTCTAAATAAAATTGTTTCTGATCCTATGTATAGATAATTATATAAAATTTTAAAAATTCTTAAATTTCAAATACATACAAAAACAATCATATGTAAATTTTAAATTTGTCAACACTAAAATTTTATATTTTAATTACATACTTGCGCAGGTTTATCCTAGTAATAAATTAAAAAACTTCCAATCCAGAGACATTTTTTTTTGGCATCCTCTAGAGACCTAATTAATTATATGCAGTAATGCATATACCTAAACCTTAATATAAAAATACTAGGTTATACTAATTTGTATATATTAAGATAAGATGGTGTGGGAACCGAAAGCCACCTACTGTCAAATAATCGTAAATAAGGAAACTTCGGGAAAACCCTAAGTTTCCAGAGGAACCGGCTATCTGCAGAACCGCACAACGAAGATTAAGATAACGATAAACTTAGAATTATTAAAAGAATAAACGAAAATCGAGAGCAAAGAGGTTCTTATTCCGAATCTGCGTAGAACTGGTACAAAGAGAGTAGCCAAAAACTTAAGAACGAAAAACACTAATTGAGACGCAGCTCGCTAACAGAAAACGGAAATTCCTAAATGCTAGTTTTGGTTGTGAGAGCTCTGAAAATCGTGTCCCTTTCTTCTGCCCTAGACCTGTCATGTCCCCGATCCTAGTTTGGGTCGCCGGGATGGACCATGGTGCCAAGGATCGAACCAACAGGTCGTATGACCTCATTTGGATAGGTGGCATGGTCCAGAATAAGGGTTAAGAGCTCAGGGAAGCTGGGACTTAACCAAAACAAGAAGGAAACAAGCATTGGGGAGTTGGACAAGTGTTATGGTAGCTGGACGAG